ATAAAAAGAGGTTAAAAACAGATAAATCACTAGTATCAGAACATGTTTCTCCAAGGTTGGTCAGATGGTAAAAATGGAACATATGTCATCACCTGGGGTCATTATGACCCCCAATGCAGTATTTAAATTATTATAAAGCTCAAACTCTTACAATATGTTTGTTTTTTGTCCAAACCCTTATAAGTAAGAAAAACAGACTAATGAAAGCCTTAGATTATGGCTTATGATATTAAAATGTACTGCACTGGCAGTAAGTCCTTTTCTTGCTATCTGTATAAAATAAAAGCCAAAGTGCCAATATGAAGATGTACAAGAAGTAATTAGATATCATCTAAAACAAATGATTGAACAGAGAAATGCCAGAAAAGAAGAGAGATAAAATAAAAAGACATATTTTACCATAAACTAAGAAAAACAGACAAAAGTAATTTGAAATCACAGGAAAACAAACTGACCTTGCAAATAATAATTATCTAAGCAGTTACATGAGGTAAATATGACCCCAATCTAAAACTATAATAAAAAACTATAACTGCAGAATACTGATGAAGACTACAACATGGACAGACACACAATAAAGGAAGCTTCTGTGGGCAGGGCTGAGTAAAGTGACATTCATCACATAATAATTGATTAACGAAATTGCACGGGGTCATAATGACCCCACATGATTAACTGAAAGTTAAAGGACTTCATAACATAAATACTTAAGCCTCTCTCTTTTTTTTTGTATTGAACTGTTGATGGTAGGCACATGTCTAAGGTATAAGAATAATTAACATTACTCCTATTTTCAAAGGAGAGAAGAGTTGTCCTGGAAATTATAGAACAGTTAGTCTTACTAATGAAATAGGAAAAATTCTAGAGTGTCTAGTAAAGGAAGCTTTGCAAAACCTTTAGTGAAATATGAAATCATAAAAAGAGACCAGTTTGCACAAAATGAAGAAAAATCTTCTTATTTATTTAAAGCTATTACTGTGATGAGGATGATAAAAATAGTGTGGAACCTTAAAATGGTGTAGCAATGAAGGAAACAAAGAAAACCAAATCAGTGGTGCATGGATTGAAAGGTTCTTTGGTAAAAGAAAGCAAGATCCTCTTGTTTTTGGGAATCTAGTGTATCTCAAGGGTCAGTGTTTGGGTCTTTACTTTTCTTATTTACATTGTTAAAGCTGTTAGTAAAACACTGGGAATAAAAATATTTTTTCTTCTGATTAGTCATATTAATTAAAGTTTCTACAGTGTCAACCACACTTTAGTGCACATTATAAATATTAAAAAATAATGAAAAATATTTCTGTACATTTTGATCCAAATGAAACAAGTATATGGTCTTGTTATTATGATACATATGTCTTTTTTTTTGTTGGTAGTATTAAAAAATAACACAGACTAATTATAGTATAACAGTGCAGGAAATTCATGCCAACCACGGCAGAAATTGCCACCATATTGTTCAAAGTGGACTTGGTGCCCTCAGAAAATCCATGGTCACAATATCCATCATTGGGTATCCCTTTGACCATCATGCCCTCATGATCTAAATTTGTACTGCATACAACAGTGAAGGGAAAAAACCATTTGGAATCAAAGACACTGAACTTTCAACCTACAGAAACTACCTTGTTATGAATAATATATCACATAAAATGCATATAGTGGAGGGAATGAAGTTTTCACTCTTGTCTGCAGTAAAACATTTTTGCAATTTGTTGAGTCACACCATACCGCAGACTCTTAGTAGTAGCAAGCAATTCAAATCAACGTCCAAACAACAAACCCGCAGAGTTTACACAAAGATCCACAGCAACACCAAAGTCAGCATGCACATACACTGGTCACAGTGAAGTGCATGACTACAAATACTCTTTGCATTAAACATGACAAAAGGAACCAGTAAAGAAGGAGAATGCCGAGAAACTTTTTCTGTGGTGGCCAAGTACCAGAAATTGTAACTTTTTTTTTTTATTGGTAAATCTGTAGATTATATCCTGATTTTTAGCATAGCAGCTCATTGAATGGCTCTACATTTTTTCAAGTACAAACTTTTACCTCATAATTCTGTCATCTCTTGACCATTTCTCAGATCTAATTACAGTTTACGACTCAGGAGGTCAAACCCTTTTGCTTGATGTATTTGACCACTTCCAAAGTCTCATAGATTAATTTACTCTAATCCTGCTTAAAAGGATTTAAATTAGAAGGTAGGCTGGTAGAGATCCTGATGAGTGATAAAATCAAATCGGATATATGCATGCCCCATGCTTGGTATTGCTGGCACAAAAAGGGTAAAAAAAGGTCACATAGATTAATTTACTCTAATCCTGCCTAAAAGAATTCCAAGTGTTGTGGCTATTGAGAATTCCCTCTTGTTTAGAAAATGAAGGGAAATAGGATATGTCAATAATTCAACTCGATCAATTTCATGTGCAAGCCTACCATAGGCTTAGCCCTACTATTAGTTCATCAAGAAATTAATGTTGCATTTTGGAACACTTTCATTAACCACTCCCCAAGAAACATACATCATGTATAATAGTTAAACTAACCACCTAAATGTCATGTTAGTTTAGCCTATATAATGTGCAAAGTTTAGTATACTCTAATCCCTTATATTGATGACACACGACAAGACACACAAAGTGATGCTTTGTATTTGGTGGTACATCAAAGAAGTAATTCATTTCAAACTCCTCAATCCACAGTGAACTGTCAATGTAGAGATCTATAGTCAACAACTGGAACATTTAAATCAAGCCTTTTATCAGAAATGCCCTTCACTCTTCAATCAGAAAGGTGTTCTTCTTCTTTTCCACAACAATGCATGTCCAGGTCATTTTAGATCAGCATGATACTTTTTTTTTTAATCTTAAAGCTGATGTACTGTTACTTCATAATTCTCATTGGTTAAAGTTAATATTTACCTGCCTGATAAACATAATCTGGAAGGACAGGCCAGTTTCCCAAGCTCCCAATGAATAAAAGTTAATGCCATATTAACTAAACTCACTGGGAAGTTCATTTCTATTCCATTAACATTAATGTGTACTGTGGCCTTGGTGCCCTCCATTGAATTTCTTTTTGGCCTTAGTGCCCTAGCTGTTGGCTTTGGTGCCCTTGAAATGAAAGAAAGTCCATGGTCAAATGGCCTTACCCTAAAAATTATGAATTTCCTGGCCTGCTATAATTATATTATACAAGTGTACTGCTGAGAGTTACTTCTTTGTTTTTACCTTTTATCATAATCATTCCATATTATAAGTTTTTACATGTGTGTTACAAAGATCCCCTCTTACCCTTCATTTCTCGAGAAGAAATAAGTTAAGAGATCTAATCAATACCCATAAGATAATTCTTCCATTCTTGGAATAACCCTAGTAGCTCTCCTTTGAATTAACAAGTCAATATCCTTTCTTAGATAAAGAGGCCAAAACTGTAAACAGCCTTCAAAGTTATACTTTCTACACAGATATAATTACTTCTTTTAATTTGTAACCAAAATATGTATAAATACACAATAAAATTATTTAGTTTTGCTACTAACAACAAAGCTTCAGTACCTTATCTACCACTGTGCAAAAATCCTTTTCTTCAGTTAAACTCTTGAGTTGATCCCCACCTATATTAAACATTATCCAAATAATAACCCAAATGCATTACCTTGTCAACTATTTGTCTGACTAACCCAACTAATCCAAGTCATTCCATATAATTTACATACCCCAATACAGCTAGAAATAATACTTTAATTATAGTACTTCGGCACTTGTTTTTCTTTATTGATAAGCTGCTCTCCAATGGCACTGATGTCTGCATTCTTTTGTTGAATGCTCCGATATTCTGTGATGTATTTTCTGGCCAGTCTCTTCAATATAAAACTGATTACATTCTTCGCTTGTAGTCTAACACAACATTCTTTGTGCTGTTGATATGGCCTAATTAGTAAAGTTTGCTGATGACATTAAACTAGTAAAAATCATAAATAGTATTCAACATTAAACTGGTGCACAATTTTAATTGTATACCAGTTTAACGTTGAATATTATTTATGATTTTAATTTTATACGAAGTAATGACCACTGATATCTTAAAAACAACAAAAACATTTCTTGAAGAAGATAAATAGATCTTAACAATGATGAACAGCCACATTTAGTGAAAATTCTTTATTTCCTCAATGTTCTACCTAACAGTTTTCAAGAGGTAGACATCCTACTGAACATGAACCTAGTCTTAACAGAGGAAACAGATGATATAATTCAAAATGTGTTCTTATGTATTGTCAGACACACAACCATGTTATCAACAATAAGAACAAAAGAATAATAAAGGTATGACAAGAGTATAAATACAGTGAAGAAAATATCAATATAAAATCAAAAACAAAAAGATAAGTAAGATAAACATTCAAATAAATATCACAGACTACCTATTCATTAAAAAAATTGAATCCTACACTAAATCATGATCCCTGAAGGTCTATTAAAATGCTTGTGTCAAATGTTTACATTTATTTGAGAACTGGTTATGAAGTAACAAAATGTATAATCAATTACTTTTTTCTAAAATATTTTATTCGTCTATTTCTCATCTTATTTCTTCTATTTCTTGACTAAAACTTATTACATATTTTCTAATTTATTTATCTGTTATTTCAGATAATTAACATAGGAGAAATGTGATACATGTCATATATTATTACATTCTCTTTACCTTCTGTTGTATTATTTCAATCTGTTCTTCCGTTCTCAGTCTTTTTTTCATTGTAGATTATGGTGGTCTATCCCTTGTTAACTCTGATACAGCAAAATGCTGGGAATAAAAATACTTTTCCTGGTCATTAGTGGTAGTTATTATTTTTTGTGCCTAATCAGGAGTCTTTCTCACAACTATTCCATACAGCACATTCTGATATAGAGATCATAATTTAAATTTTCTTTAATTTTTCACAATACTCTGGATATGTATGTGCTTACAATTTTGTCTTTTTTCTACCTTACCTAATCTGTCTTCTTTTTCTAAAACAACGAAGGTCAATTGTGGATGCCTAATGATCAACTCTCTGGCTGTTGCCATGCCAACAATTCCTCCACCCACAATAACAACATCATATTCCGGTTCAAAAACCCTTAAGAAAGAAAATGCATGCATCTTTAATTTAGAGAAAACCGTTAGCTGCAATCTAATAACAAACACTTTTTTACAATAAAGAATTTTACAATGTACTTCAATTTAATTTCAAAATAAATCCATAGCTGGAAGATAATATGGGTCAAATTATTTGTAGGTTTCAAATAAAAACTAACACTTTTATTCATAATTGTTTTATTATAAAGACTGGCTGAGGTTCAGTTAAAACAGTTTTATTTTTTCTAGCAGAATGACTGTCCTATGAAATGAGTTGCCAACAGCATTGATGGTCATAAAGTTTGAAGATGAATAAAATTATATTAAAAGTTTAATATAGTAACAAATGTCTAATACTTTGACAGTTTTTCACCATCAGGTATATACATATGTATCTGTATAATGAACAAAGATATCACATGCACAGAGACTACTTAACAGCTTTGTAAAACTTTTACTAAAACTAAGTAAAAAGTATCTTGGCACCTGGGGCTGTTTTCTTTAATTAAGATTGCTTCTCTGATTTTTGTTTGTTGATGTTTAGTTCTTTGTTTGAAATTGAAGTTTTTACCAGTTTATGAGGGTAATCGATGATTGCCCGTATTTTTTTTTTTTTACTTTTCTAAAGGGTGGGTGTGTAAGAATAGATTTGAACTTTAAGTGCCAAATAGTCCCTTGTTGTTATTTTATGCTTGGAAACGTTGATGATAGCAGCACGTACAGTGTATCACTATCAGCGCGTAATCAGGTGTTTTTTTACATAAGACAAGTTGTACTTATAGTTTACGATCTAGTCTTAAGGAGTACTATGCGATTTCTTCACTTCAAAATAAAATACAAGTGTAATGATATTTTGACATCGTAGGTAAACAACCATACATTATAAAAGAAATTATACAAACCGCCGTATTTTTTTTCCACTGATTTGCTAAGCTTCAGTACATGAAACTTGTTAAATGGTTGTATAAAATTTCAAATGAAAATATATAAAAATTCTAATAACCTTGTTCCTGAGTTTAGAGAAAAATCTCGAAACAAACTTATTTTTTTCTTCAGATTCTGGCATTTAACTGAATTTTTTCTGAGTAAGTTACCCCAAATACTATTAAATAACATTTTGTTCCTTTTATAATAATCGCATACAGTCCCAGTCCCTTCGAGCTGCAATACACTTTACCAGACTTTCAGAAATACTATTCCTAATTTTACTATAAAAAACGTATCGTAAGACTAAAGCACGTGACTTTAGGTTTGCAGGAAAATGCAATTTAGAAAATGGACAGAGAAAAAAAAAGAGCTGGAGAAAGTAAAATAATTATTTTTATTTGATTTCGTTTTTGTATATTATCGCTAATAATATTGTAACGTCTCCGTTCGTTAGTTAATTTTCCGTAAATTCGTTCCGACGAAACTTTAACGACACAAGTCCTTTCTTAACTAAAACTGGTTTATTCTTTCCGAATACAACTTTACGATACACTTAATTTCAACAGTCGCGCTATAACAAACGCTATAACTCACGTGGCCAACAATATTTCCTCTGACAGTCTGACTGCAGTTCAATTACTCAATACACTGTTGCCCATCACGTTGTCAACGTCTTATATATACAAGACTAACACATATCTAGTACTCTCCCGATAATTCACGAAGGTTCGAGAGAAGGAGTGGCGTGATATAGTCACGTGACCTCGCTGACGCAACACTGCCCCCTCCTTAGTATTGTTCGTCCCGAACAATAGCCACTTACATTAAACCAATAACAATAACTTAATTAAATGTACAGAATTACAAACACAAAATTACAATTCAATAAAGTCTCTTAATTTTACAGGGCGTATCTTCTTCCGTACTGGTCTCCGTCTCGTTGGCTTCTGCTTAATATGGGGTTCATCTGCTTCATCAGGAAATGTCCTATCATCGGTAACAGTCACATTAATGGTAGTAACTTCATCAAGAGCTTCACCGTTTCTCTTCTCAAAACTGAGTAGAGTTTTTTCAACATTGGCTTTTTCAGGTGACACGTCTTCAGCAGCGTCATTTGTTCTGTTGTCCACTTCGTCCCAACTGAAATGTCCTGGACCGTGATAACGCCAAAGCCTGTTGGCATGCACCACTTTTGGCTTACCTCGCTGACCACATTTTATTTGGAAAGTCACGTCTGAGAGACGATCCACTGAAAGACGTTTTCAAGTTTTAATGCACTTGATGGTGAATATCATCCATCCTTTCAGAAAACACTGTCACGAAGTCTGGTACATTTTCAGGCAACTCTTCGTAAGGTGGGCATCCTGTTATCAGATCCACTGACAACCGAAGTTCCCGACTAAACATCAGCTTTCCTGGAGCGTATCCAGTGACTTCATGCTCTGGTGTTCTATAGGCCATCAACAGTAGAGGGAGTAAGATATCCCAGTCATCTTGGCAGCTATTACAAAACTTTGCCAATTCCTGTCCCAGTGTCCAA